TCTTTTCTTTTCTTTTCTTTTCTTTTCTTTTCTTTTCTTTCGAGAGGGAGAATCTTAAGCAGGCTTCATGGAGCCCCAAAGAGCCTGATGCAGGGTTTGATGTCATGAGTGTGAGATCATGACCTGAGCCAAAATCAAGAGCTGGACGCTTAACCAACTGAGCCACCCAGGCGCCCCCATAAGCTCTTTCTTGAAGAAAAATCTCTGAACGGGCACCTCTGTGGCTGCCACAGCATCTTTTCTGTGACTGACTGACTTGGTGAAGAATAGGAAGGAGGCAGTGAAGCTAGGACTCTGATCCCACCTCTGACCATTGTACTGTTCTTTGTGTTTGTTTCTACTGAATGATTCTCCTATGAAAGAATTGAGTGCATTCAGAAATGCATAGGACAACATTTAGTAAAGGAGAATAAGACAATCAGATTGTAAGTGGTCTGGGAGAGGAAGATGAGACCAGACTGAGTAGCTTCTAGTTAAATGAATGAAAAGAGTGAACTGTAAGTTTTCTGTCCCTGGCTGATTTTTTTAATAGTGTGTTCCACAGCTGAAACACCTGTGAGAGCTCTGTTATTCCAGTTCTTTTTTTTTAATGTTTATTTATTTTTGACAGAGAGACAGAGCATGAGTGGGGGAGGGGCAGAGAGAGAGGGAGACAGAATCTGAAGCAGGTTCCAGGCTCTGAGCTGTCAGCACAGAGCCCGGTGCGGGGCTCAAACCCACAGACCGAGAGATCATGACCTGAGCTGAAGTGGGACGCTCAACCGACTGAGCCACCTAGGCGCCCCTGTTATTCCAGTTCTAATGAATAGGCCCAAGATTGCCAGCTTGCTTCATAACCTGAAAGCTTTATAATAGGTCTTCTGACCCGTTTCTTCTTCTGCTTTGCCTGTGTCTTTCTGGTTTTGTCAAAACTGCAGGGGATTAGAACCTGAGGTCCTGTGTCTCTTACATAACATCTTCCCTTCTCATGTCTGCAAGGGCTGCTCCTTTGCTATCTCCTTTCCCCTCCCCTATCTTAGTTTGGTTGCCAGGCAATAGGTAGTCAGGTAACAGGTAGCTCTTACTACCTCTGTTAATTTTGCCTTTCAGGTAAAGTGGTGATGTGTTGAAAGCAGATGTTTGAGTACTCTGCTGGGCCAATTTTACATATACTGAATCTTTATATAGAATTGATCTACAGTGGAGGAGGCAAGATATAGGGGAAGGAGAGATGGGACTGTATGAGGTTATCTTTCTTATTAGAGCCTCGCAGACATGGCTTTGTCTCTCTTGTTAGAAGACTTTATCATTTCACACCTTGTAGTGCCAGAGTGGGATGCTGTGTCTTATTTTGAGGAGGATGTGCTAGTTCAGCATCTTTATGGACCGTTCTGTTGTCAGCTTCCTAGGCTGCCACTTGGAGAGAGCAGACAGGGAAGCCCTTCAGTCTGGGTGTGTGTGCGTGTGTGCACATAGGTAAGCACACCAGTGATCTGTCTGGAAAAGCTGGAAGGGGCGCCTGGGTGGCTCAGTCAGTTAAGCATCCGACTCTTGATTTCAGCTCAGGTCTTGATCTAAGAGTTGCGAGTTAAAGCCCCACACTGGGTTCCACACTGTGGAGCCTACTTAAAAAAAAAAGAAAAAGAAAAAGCTGGATGTAGCTAAGGAGATAATCAGAGATCTCACACACTATACCTACCACACTGAACCCCAGGTCTCCGGGTCTACAGGTCCTATGAGAAAGGGCATTGAAGAGAAGTCTCCCTTCAGACTTTATAGTTGGTCATTCAGTGAATGTTTTACAGGCTCACTCTTGGTGGGCTAAGCGTTCAGAAAGTAGATTAGCACTAGGAGGGGGTAGAGGATAGCAGGTAACCTGGAGAAGTAGACCAGTTACATAAATGCAAGGAGATAACATCAAGCATTAAACCTCAGTCAGTGTCTTGGATACTATCCATTTCCTCTGGGGGAACAGGGGTGGAGTCAGGCTGGAGGTAGGTATGGAACAGGGAAAGGTCTTTTTAGAGGAAGCTACCAAGGGCTGAGAGCAGTGTAGCTGAATGTGCTGAGGGGACAGGATTGACAGATATTCCCGATTTTCCACAGGAACGGGTTAGTAAATGCAATGTGTTTGTGTGTGTCTGTGTTATCAATGTCAGGTTCTGAAACATCCAAGATTCTGAATCTCTGCCTACTTGATTATCCGATGAGGGTGTAAGGATTTTAATCAAAAGAGACGTGCTTTAGAAAAGGAAGATGATTCTTCTCTAGAGAAAGATGGGGAGTTTAATCAGTTTAATTCTTTTCCTCACCCATTCTGTTAGACACTAGCTTCTACTAAGATTCCCAAAATTTAAGAGTAACATTGGGGAGGAGAGTGAAGGAACTTTCTCCATGCATCTCCAGTGCCTCAGATGCCTCAGGGCTCCTAGAAGTGTTAGAGCCTACGTAGCATCACTGTATGGTCAAAGTTGGGTTTTTGAGCCCTTGTACATAGAGCTGTAACAGGGTGTGTGGAAGGGCTATGGGAGGTGGAGGGAGCTGTAAAGGAGAGGGAAGCTCATTTCCCCCCTCCTCTAAAAGGCTACAGAGCTCTCTGAGGGTGAAAGTTTCAGAATTGATGCCTTTCTCTAACCAACCTTTCTATGCATTATCTTGACTCTGAAACAGACTGTTTTCATAGTTTCAGTTCTAAGTTATTAGAGTATGGGGCAGGTACTTAATTCTTAGGCTTGGAGCCTCCTTGTTTTTTTGTTTTCTTTTTGTTTTTTCAATGTTTATATATTTTTGAGAGAGAACATGCATGAGTGGGAGAAGGGGCAGAAAGAGGGGGTTTCTGAAGGGGTCTCTGCGCTAATAGCAGAGAGCTCGATATTGGGCCTCAAACTCAGGAACTGGAGATCATGACCTGAGCTGAAGTCAGAACTTAACTGACTAAGCCCCCCAGGTGCTCCACCTCCTTGGTTTTGGTTAGGTAGAAGCCTTAATTTAAGCTTTTCCTGGAACTAGGATTAGCACTTTTGGTTCTGAAAAAAGCGAAGCATTTGAGGACCTTGTTCAGAATACTCAGAGCATTAGGGTCCTGTTCTGTTCCCCTCTCCCTTTCATGGAGAGAACCCTACATTTGTTTTCTTTCCCTGTCTCTACAGGCCTCATCATTTCTGTGTCCTGCTTCTACATATCTTATATCTCTCGTGGTCGGACCACTGGTGTGTGGACTTGTACATGATGAATTGTGAACTTCTAGCCACATGTAGTGCCCTTGGGTACTTAGAGGGAGATACTTACCACAAAGAACCAGATTGCTTAGGTGAGTACCTTTTGGAGAAAACAGGTACAAAACTTGCTTGAATCGAGGAGATCTGTAGAATTTCTCAAGTCCTGGGTATGAATAGCACATGGGCCAAGGTGGAGCTTCTTCCAGGGTTTCTTGTAAGTGTTTATTCTGTCCCTAAAGAGAGTGTAAAGGATTTGATCCGCTACTTGAGGCATGAGGATGACACTCGCGATGTGCGGCAACAGTTGGGGGCAGCCCAGATCCTGCAGAGTGACCTTCTACCCATCCTTACCCAACACGGCCAGGACAAGCCTCTCTTCGATGCTGTTATCAGGTTGGTTCCCCAGCGTTTTAACTTTTACCATGCACCAGCCCTTGGTGTTTGAGCTGATAGGTTTTGGTGGGGTTTGTTTTGTTTTGTTTTTGCTTTTTTTTTTTTTTC